AGCCTCAGAGGCAGGGAGAGCCACACTCTTCCCGTGACAGCCCTGAGCGCCTGCTCGTAGCCATGGCAACAAGCAGCATTCCTGGTAACAGGAAGTGGGCAGCTCCTGCCAATGGCGGCTCAGGCCTCCCAGGCCTTCAGCAAGCTCAGAGACAGAACCGGCCCATCTCCAAGGCAGCGCGGCCGTATCACATGCAGCAGCCACAGAGGGCACAGCTGCAGCTGCTCCTCACCAGGGTTCTTGCTTTCCCTGCTGTGAATAAGAGTGTCCCTCTGATACACTCCAGCCTGAACTGTTCAGGGAGAAACAAGAAGTTTCGTTCCCACCTCATGTGTGCTTCATGCAGCGAATCCAAAACAAGACAGCAACATGGCAGGCGAGGAGGCATACCGTTACCTTTCATCGCAGGGAAGATTGACTTCCAAAAACCATGTCAAAGGAACAGCCCCCACCTCCACCCTCCAACACACACACACACACACACACACACTGCACAGAGGCAGTAAGGTGCTGTTTGTCCCCTTCTGTTCTAGAAAATACAGCCCTGTGTTCACTTAACTTACTTCCTAGCTGCTTCCCAACTTTCCACCTTCACCCCCTCTCAGGCCGTCTGACACCAAAAGAAACCATTACACAGAGGCTGCACTGCTTTAGTAACAGGGAAATGTGAAGCCACAGCTTGTGCAGGCGCAATGACTTAGGGAGTTTTGAACTAGATTTTTAAAGAATACTTCACATAGACCTGAGAGCACCCCTGCCGTACGTCTGTGGGGTGCCGATCCTTTTCACACTCCTGGGGCTTACCTGGCAGTACCCCACACCTTGGTTGTGGTGCCCGTAGGCCAAGAGCACGTTGTACAGGGTCTTCTGTAAACACGGATCGGCGCTCCTGCGGAATTTCACGTTGTCCGGGAAGGTCCTGTTCATATCTGCAGAGAAATCAACGACACGATTATTCAGAAGGTGGGAACTGAACGGTCTGTGAGGTACAAGCCCCACCTGGTGAAGTGCTGGGCTCCGGCTCAGGTGTAAGGAGAGGTGTCATCCCTGGCTATGCACTTGAGTCACCTGGTAGGGCCTGGCTGCCCTGTATGGGCAATGAGCACCTGCAGCCTTCACAGCCAAGGTCCTGGGCGACTGGAGTCCAGGGATGGAAGAAGAGGGCACTCCCAGGACCCCCGTCCTGCTCCAGCCACACCCAGGGGGGCACTGTGGGCCCCAAGAGTGGTTCTCTCAAAATCAGTGACAGCAGAGTGGGCTTCTCTGGGGGAGGCCCTTCACCCAGCAAACCTGTCCTCGCGCTGCCCCCTCTTAGCTAAGGGGAGGCTTGACTCTAGAACACGTGACAGGTGAACATCTTACACAAAACTCTAGAAATTCTTCCCAATTCTGAAGATTGAAAACATAAAGAAGCAGAACACACCAACATTCCCTTTCAGAGATAAACAGACAAAACCGAAAACTAAGAACTATACAGCCTGGTCAGTGTGGCTCAGTGGTTGAATGTCGACCTATGAACCAGGAGGTCACGGTTCAATTCCTGGTCAGGGCACATACCCGGGTTGTGATCCCCAGTGTGGGGCATGTAGTTATCCCCACATTACCCCCCTATCCCCCCATTACAAATATATATTTTTAAAAAGAACTAAATAAACTTCGCACTGTCAACCTTTGTCTGCAGGAGGGCTTCCTGGCCAGCCTCTTCCTGCTCATCAGACACCCACTTCCTCAGCCCGGCCCTCCCACCTGGCCGGCCAGGTCGCCAAGACACCAGGGCCCAGTGCAGGGGCACAGGTGCTGGATTAGGCCACTAAGACAACGCCTGACTTTTTTTTTTTTTAAGATTTTTTAATT